AAGAAAATAAAAAACTAAAGATGCTGAGCAGTGACACCGCAGAATCCATCTGCTGAATCACTTGGGGCAGTGTGTCTCTTTAACCTGGCTTTTCCCTCCTCACAGGCCTCCTGTCTGTCTCTCCAATTCATCTTCTTGACTCCAGCTGTTGCTTTGTAGTAGAGTGGACTTTGTTTTCTTAGTGGAAGTGTTTCCTCTGGGCCAGTTAAATTGTTAAGTGGGATGAGCTGTACGTTTTGTTTTGTGTTTTGTGGGTCGCACAGGACCACATCTTAACAACACTATTAAAGCTTCAGATTTAAACATTTAAAATGTACATAGACATTTGTAAAGAGACGTGATGCTAAATCCTAAGAACTGTTACAGGATGTGTATTTTGTAAATTGTGTAACTTAACTTATTTTTTATTATATCATAACTTTTTTTTAAACTTAGGCAAGGCAAGGTAAGGCAAGTTTATTTATATAGCACCTTTCAACACAAGGTAATTCAAAGTGCTTTACAAAAATGAAAGACATGGCATTTAAAAACAGTCATTAAAAAGCAAAGATAATAAAATAAACATTAAAAGAAAAAATACATGGATAAAAGTTACAGTGAGATGTGTATAGTTCAATTAAAAGCAGCGGCAAAAAGACAAGTTTTGGAGCATAATAACTGAACGCTGCTTTACCCTGTTTAGTTCTGACTCTGTGGACAGGAAGCTGACCAGTCCCTGAAGACCTGAGAGATCTGGAGGGTTCATAATTTAGCAGGTCAGAAATGTATTTAGGGCCTAAACCATTCAAAGCTTTATAAACCAGCAGCAGTATTTTGAAATCTATTCTTTGACACACAGGAAGCCAGTGTAAAGACTTCAGAACTGGAGTGATGTAACTTAGTACTTTTTAATGCATGTAACATATGTACCATATGTAACATTAAGCTGTCTGGCTCTTTTTCTGCTGTGACAACGTAAATGTCCCCTCTGTGGGACTAATAAAGGTATTCTGATTCTGATTCTGAGATCGCTTTGTATGTGACTGAGTTTGAGTCTATAAGAACAGAACATACGATAGGTTAATCATTTATTGTCAGGTCAAGTATGAAATTGTACTTGCATCAGCAGCTCCATTTGCAACATCAACAAGGACAAATATTAAGACATGATACAAGGAAAACAAACATTAAACATAACATCACAATCACTGAAGAGAAACATGCTCAAGATCCTCTAACATACATTAGATCTGGGATTTAGCTCTGTATTTAATTGCAGTATTGACTGGTCTGACTTTATTAAATAGCGGGACCCTGTATCTCTGATTTGATGAAACAATTAATATGCAGTGTTCAGGACATGGTTTGGGTCAGAGATGATGGTGTTGGACAGCCTCACTATGTTGTTATGGTGATTCATACCAGCTGAAAATCTGCTCAAAGATTGTAGGTCAAGATTGTAGGTCAACCATCTTTGAGCAGATTTTCAGCTGGTGGAGCAGTTTTATTTTAAAGCGGTAGACAAACCCTCTAGTGGCCACATTATTTATCCAAATCTGCAAAGTAACTAAAGGTATTAAATAAATGTAATGGAGTAAACGTACACGATTTACCTGTGAATTGTAATGTAGTAGAAGTACAAAGAAGCAAAAAATGTAAATACTCAAGTACCTCAAAATTGTTCTTAAGTACAGTACTTTAGTAAATGTACTTAGTTACATTACCCCACTGTTCTCAAGCAATGCTTTTAAAACACCCTTGATGCCGTATCATCGCTTTAACACTGCTGCAGACTATTAGATTACATTTTACAGTTTTACTTTTACCTATATAATTATTTTATTTATTTATTTATGTTGAAATATTTGATTTTATCTTATTAAAACGCATATATCACAGTTGGAGATGAAGAATATCTGGAACATAGCATTTAATAAATGATTAATTGAAGGAGGAACACAATTGAACTGACGGTAAACATACAATTTAACGAATATTACAGTAAACAAAATTTGATCATTATTGTTGTCCGGGGAGAATGGTTTTCTTTTTTGAGTTTTGGGAAAAGACTGTCTTCCTGTGAATCTGATGCAAGAAGTTGCTTTGTTTGTTTTTTTAAAGTAGTTCAAGCTGGATATTTTTCATCAGTGTAAATGGGATTGTAGATTTCTGACTTTGAGCACTTGTCATGCTGTGTAAAAAGAATGCAAAAAATTATGCAATGAACTGTAAAAATGGTATTGTATTTGTAGGCACATTTATATCATCAGCTGTGTCAGAGGGCGAAGGAGGACATGCGGGGCAAATTATTCCCCAACACTGACGACCTCCTAACCCATGGGTCGGCAACAGCCGGTCCACGGGCCATTTGTGGCCTGCCAGCAATAATATTTTGGCCAGGAAAATTATTTTGAGAATAAAAATAAAATATTATTTTGAGATTCTTTTTTACAATATTGGACCGACAGTCACACATATAGGCTATAATGTCCAAATAGAGAATCTACCTACACCTGAATAATGCCTATTGTACTTTTATCCATGTTGAGAGTGAATGACACACAGCACAGGCACAATCTGCCAGCGGGGTGCACTGACGCTGATAGTGGATCAATAAGTAGCTGGACAGCGCGTGGTGCTGAAATATCCAAAATGCGGTGTGTGGTTTGAAAAAAATAACACCAGCTCACTAAATCATTCAAACGTAATGTTTACTTAGGATATCAAAACATTGACAACAAAATCGGAGAAGCCGCTTGATCATGGAGGGCGAGGGGTGGCGGTGCATATGCTGCCACCCCAGCTGCCACCCCAGTTGGCAGCTTTGTTTTGAAAGAAAAGTTTTGGCTCATCGGACATTTATGAGAGAAAATCCCGAATGTCCGAGTGCAAGGGAATGCAGCACAAGACGCGAGCCTTGTAACCCCTCCCCTGACCCTGGTGCGAGCATGGAAAAGGGGCGATTTCATTTGAACGGGACGGCGCAAAACGAGAAGCAATTTAAAAGATAAGTCTGTTAATATAGATAATAGCCCTGGCTTTTAACATGGGACTGAAATGGGGCTAGAAAGGACGAGCCTCCCTTTGGGCAGGTCTAGCCAGAGGCTCTGGCCTTTGATTATGTTCTGGCCCGCCATCTAGTGGCTCAGAAAAAAATTGGCCCAAGGCCAAACTTACTTGCCGACCCCTGCACTAGAGCTTCAGTAGAGTAAACGTTAATGCAATAATTATTAAAGACAATAATTTAGTTGGTAGCCTACTTAATTGATGCAAATACATACTTAACAGTAACACTGTATTATTTCTACATGTAGGCCTACTTCAGTAAAAAATAATTGAGTAGCCTACTTACACTCTTTTTTTTCTCCTTTATTCAATAACATATTATGTACATGTACACACAGAAATAAATATAAAGAAAATAGTGGGGAAAAAACATGTGATGTCAGGTTTCCAATCTCCAATGTGCAATGTGTGACGTCAATTTTGTTTTATCTCACCGGAAGTTACTTACTCAGCAGGTTGTTTCCCTCTTGTTCTGTCAGCCAATCACATGTGATGAAAGAAGGCTGCCGTTTAGTCAAAAGTAGCGATTGTACTGTAGCTGCCTCGAGCTGTTGCTAGGCGACACGGTGCCCACGTCAAGTTCAGGCAGAGCAGATACATCTGAAATCCCGTTTGAACAAACATTTCAAAAATAAAAGTCGCATTCAGCTCTCCTAAAACTATTAAAATCGGTGTACAATATTATAAAACAGTGTGCTCACAAGTAACAACATTATTATATAGACCTTAGCAAAAAATACAAAACAGGTAGATTAGGCTACCCCCTACATTTGACTTTTATAAGAGAGCTAAATTAAAGCAAGGACCTTCCCATTTTTACAATAAAAGGTCCCATAGCCTACTGTCAATGTGTTCCACCAATGCGATAGAAATGATGGATGGATGGTTTGTTATAGTGCCACATTTAATTAAATGTATTGCCATTACAAAAACATAATGCCATCATTCCAAGAACTTGTAAATATGATGAATATATAGCCTATCAATGTAAATGTCATAAAAAATTGACCTAGGCTACGTAAGTAGCCTACTGTAACTCTCTGTACCCAATATATAACTGTCGACAGGGATATAATAACATCCCTTAATATTTATTCAGGCATATAGCCTACAGTAGCCTATGTTTCCCAGATGTCTAGACACAGCATTAGGCCTCTGTGAAATTGTAATTATTCCTCTGTGACACAAGTGCAATTTAGAAAAGCGACAGACTGTGGCGCCAGTGTCCCAGTTTAAATGAAGGGTAAGCCTCAATCCAAGCAGAGGGTTCCGTCTCTCTGAAGTCATCAATGACACTGTAGTTTTATTACCTAGATTTACCTGCGTAATTTTTGTAATACTTTTTTTGTAAAATAATAGTGGTTTGGTGTCATTTTAGGACCAATTTGAGTACTTCCTGAATGTCTCCTTACCCACTGAGGTTGAATATATTGAATTAAGTGGTGAATCTAATTATTTATCACAGATGAGCATAGCAAATTGCGTGGTTTTATTTTTTGTTGCAGACTCAGCAGTCACACAAATAAAAATAAAAATAGTAAACTGTCTTTTTTAAATTTATTTTTGAATCATGCGCCAGCAAGTTCCAGAATAATTTGGTAATATTAAAATGATCCAAACCACAGTGGAAGACCTTGATGTCAATCACTTTTGGAATTGGAGCTCGACATTTGAACACACCAGCTTCCCCCATTTTTAAATCCACCTGTTCACGCGCATCCCTGTGCACGCGGCCGCTGATAGGTGTGTGAGGAAGCCGTATTTTTGAAGAGCTCGTGCAGGGAGACACATCAGAGCTCCTCCCGCCGCCGCTGAATGGATTACCTTCAGTTCCACCTCTCCCGGATGCTTCTCAGCACACACTCCTAACCTCGCTCTGCCTTCCCATGATTCCATGACCAGCGCGTGGACACTGCTCGCGGACCATGTCAGTGATTTGAGCCCCGCTTTGACTCCCCATCCCCGCTGCTGCTGGCTGGACGCACGGCTCTTCCTGCGGGGAGGTTTTCCTGCAACAATTTGTTTTCTGAGGGTCGAAATCATGGTGCCTGTACCGCATCGGCTCCAAATGGCACTGTGAGAACTTTCCTCCTCCCCCCCCCCCCCCCCCCCCCTTATTTTTTTATTTTAGATGTTTGTCATTGGGATCGTGCTTCTTTGGGAAATTAGCCACCGTGTCCCCTTTCAATTATGTTCACTTTTGCTGCCTTCTGCTACATGCTGTCTCTGGTCCTCTGTGTGTCCCTGATCTTCTTTGCAATATGGCACGTAAGTACCTCAGCATGACTTTTGTTTGATGTCACCAGCTGATCGTATTGGATGCATGCTTTATTGTACGCGCAGGTGTGATATTTGTGTGTAACAGTGCCACATAGTCCAGAGCCCTGGGCGTTTATTCATTCATTTCAAATGCATATGCTCCAGCTGTTACAAATGAAGGATATTTTTGGCTGATATTTCCTTTAATATGACAGGTACACCTGTGTCTTCAGCTCTGCTCCATCATTCAGACGTGCATCCATCTTTTCCCCCAATTTGTCCCAATTTTACCCTTTTTCTAATCTTCATTCATGCTGACCCAATTTCATATGCAGAAAAGCTTGTCATAGATACATTAAATGGCCTTCCTTCTATATCATTTACAAAATCTAATACTGTTACCCCCAGCCCCCCCTATCATTTCTCTGCTCTGCTTCCTCTGCCTTTAATCAAACCTCGGCTGAGCTGCTCACCAGTGTCAGTGTGACTGACTGCATTATTATATTTGAATATTCTAATTATTTGCTCGAGGAGCGACATCTCCATCATGCAGAGTCTTATGTAAAGACAGATTTGGGTCAGGTCTTACAGCCTACAGCCTATTGCCCCCCAATCTGCCTTTTGCACGGAAACAGAAACAGACCTGATGCACTTGGGATGAATGATCCTCCGGCAATTACAGCTAATAGTCGGTCAGACTGTCTGTCAGACAGTGGCCCATGTGTTTGTTTACAGAGCAGAAATAAAGAGGCCAGGACAGTGAGAGGGCATGCAACCATGGAAGAACAGACAAAACTGAGAGATCATGCAAAATATATAACCCCTCAATGATGCTACTTCTAAACTGATGAGGAAAGACCTCGCCGACTTACTATAGATAGACAGAAACCCCTTCAATTCTGCCTTTTATGTCAAATTCAGCACTAGTGGAAGGATCACAATGAAACGCATTATTCTGTAGCTTCAGCAATAATCCATCGCACCAAGCTTCATTTTGCATTCTGCTTAAGACAGCAGAAACGGTCGAGATGCCTCTACAGATGATTCCCAGTTGCATTGACGTACAGACGCGCAGAATAATAAGCTGGTGCTCCGTACCGCGAGGGAAAGTCATTACGAAGAGGTGGAGGTGAGAACGTGTGGAGCTGTGGAGGAACTGAGGCTGCACATTAACACCAGACACCTGCCAACTGCTGGGGAGAGGCTGGCAGTTACTCTTTCACTTCTATCAGCCACTTTGGCAGGTAGCCATCTCTCCGTCAGTGATTTTCTTTCTTGGATTTCACAATCTCACCTAGTTTCAAAACCACTGCTGTCTGGACAAAAGGTTCGATTTTAATGCCTTGAGCTGCTGTGCATTGCTTAAAAGAGCAAGTGTGCTGAGTCCAACTACCCAGGGTGAAATCCAAGTACCCAGGGTAAAATCAAGCTATAAATATAGTGAGTCAGGGTAAGGGAACATAAAAAGACAGAGGCAATGAAACAGGCCAAATTGAAAAGACAAAATTAGTAATGAACTGCAATGACTCAAACATATTACCAGTCCGGTCGGCAGGTAACATGAGCGGCTGATTCATGGATGTCAGGGAATGACAAATGACCGCACACAGTCAGACTTCTGTCTAATTAGCCACAATCAATCAAACCATATACTGCCAACATAATTAGCTCGTTATCTACTCCTCCACTCATTTTCAGGTAATGATCAATGTGACGTAAATGTATTTTGAAGTAGGAAACACACAGAGTCCTCTTCCATCCCCTTTACACTCACATGAGGCCATTTAGCGAGACACCTGTAAGACAAATAAAGGAGTAGACGGATCCCACACTTTAGTGATTTCAGACCCCTTTATTATGTAGGCCTATGTACTATTAAATGCCGTCAACGTTAAAACGATAACGCTTGAGATAATCTGAAAACTATCAAGCGTTACAAAATCAACACAAACTAATCACATTGCCAAGTTGACCCGAAGTTGTTCCCATAATACCACCGCGGATGTTTACCATTTATTGCATGGCCGTGAAAAGGGTGGAATTGGCAAAAAAGATATGTGTTGAATTGACTGGAGCCATCTTTACATCAGTTAGAACCATCACTACCTCGTTGTAACGGCACACCTGCACCCGTTCGCTTTAGTTGTGAAAACAGATAAAAATACATTTTTCTGAACCATGCGGCAGTTTCTTGAAGTTCCTCAGGAGTGTGAGATAGAGGACAAAAACCTCCCTTAAGGAACAGATAGTGCTTACAGTATGATAGCAGCAGAAATAATGCCCTATGTAAGACACATTGTGACACATTATACAGAGAGGTATCACTGTTCGTGACAGTGGCTTTCTCTATGCTTGGTCGGAAAATTGTCTGACTTTGTGACATAAATTCTGAAAGCAGGTTATAATAAATATGCAACAAAGGCTATACTTGTTTGTTCCCCCCCCAAAAAAAGAAGTCAAAACTAGTATTGAATCTTAAGATCAATCATGATAAATCACAGATTATTATTGTGATTAACTTGATTAGACTTTTTAAATTGATTGACAGCACCAATACTGTTATATAAATAAAAGGGGGCTGGCATATTAAATATATACTGTATATTCAGAGCAATTGACTGAAACTAATGATGATGCAGGAGAACTGGATCTGGTGTCTCACAAACTGAAGGTTTTAATTTAAAGGCAAACAGAAAGGTAACAAATAGGCGAATACAAGTATGGAGTCACATGTGCCAATATATATTCTTCCAACAGCTTTTCGGGTCTTCATATTTACCGAATTCTTGACCTGGTCATGAACATATTTGCGAAAAACAGAGGCAACACCAAAAGATTAAGATTGATGTCATCTCCCTGGTGTGACCTAGCGAAGACCTACCTAAATGATTTCTAATAAATCAAAAATATGCTTAAAATCTGATGTGTGAATATATACATTTAGGTATAGTAGTAGATAGGAATTAGCTAAAAGATTACATGGTGACAACAATTAAATATGACATGCCTATGGATAATTAGCATGTTCCAGTATTCTCCCTGTGGGATATAATGATGATCCACTTCAGAAAAGATACAGCAATTGTCAGAATCATCCTTTTCATCACATGAAGTTCAACAGCACCGTCACCCATGGGAGCACTCACGTAAGCGATTACGAAGGCATTTTAATTAACATACGAGGTGAACTGTGACCCCCCCCCCTGAGCTCTCCGGCTCATCGCTAAGACACTCGCACTCTGCTTGAGTGATTCTCCTCCCCTGGAACCGCGGCCCCTAATGTGCTCTAAGTGTCATTAAAGCTGGGAGCGAGCCACACACTCCACCGGTGCTCCTCGGATGGATGGGAAAGCCCCGCGGTGCCGATATGATGCAGAGGTTGTTCTGGCAGCGAGACAGAGGGCAGAATGTCAAAGAATCAGTTACGCTCCCAGATGGGCTTTCCATTATACTGCTGCAATGGCATGGAAGGGGCAGTGGGATTTGAAAGCATGATTTGTATTGATAATGCTGATTCGCTGGTGATACCTCTCTTATATGCATGCTAACGAATGTAACTGTTAGCTTAGCTCTCCTGAGGTCCGTAACGGGTTGGCACACAAACCCTGTAACAACAAACGTTCTTAAACTTTGGTTTTAAATGAGAAAGAAATGTTTTTAACAACGTTTTTAATATACTGTAGGCATTTATTAAGTTTGCTGTTGTCTTTAATTGTGAGTAAAATGATAACAAGTTAAGATCTGATTGAGCTAACTAAGTCAAGCTAACCGTCCCTGGTATCTAGCTTTGTCATTAGACATGACGGTGGTAAGAAAGCTGAATGTATTACACAAAATCAAACTTCATTATTCAAGCAATTGGTTATAACCTAAACATCTTTATTAAATTGGTGCCCTTTAAAAAAAATAGTATAGTCACTTTATTTTAATACTTTTTTTTGTTATAGGGCAGTAAAAGGGCAGTAAAAGTATAATTACTGGAGATACTAGTATTCGTTAATTAATTTGATAAAATAAACACACTTGTGGTGTTGTGATAAATACATGCATGACAAACTGTTAAGAGAAACCAAAGGGTTGTCATCAACATCATTTCTGAATTATTGGCATGAAGTCCCACAATTGTCTGATACTTAGCTAAAGCATCAACAAAGCAGCTGTCTCTGAGAGCTGCTATGATAATTTGTGATACACAGGGCAAATTATCTCTACCACTATCATACATAGGATTATCCACTTTAAGAAACTGACTAGCACATGGTTCGGCAAAATGCCTTTCTTTTGTTTTCAGCGAATGTGTACAGTTATGCCGTAAAAGCACTTTTTTTTTACTGATGTTGAGTGGTCTCCAGTCAGTGCAATGCATGTCTCTTGGACTGATTCCTCCACTTTCTTTGCCTTTCCATCAGCCCTGGAATTACGGGAGCAGGGAATGTGATTAATATGCGTGAATTTGAATTGAATGCATTAAGGTTTCCAGATTAAACGTGAGCACTAGCGCGCTAACATTGACAGCCCTAGATAATATGCTAATGCTTCAATACATATTTTCCAGTTATACAATGACAGGGCTCATTCTGACTGAGAATAAATTACCTGTGTATACTTGTTGTAGGAGTAGATTGGCTGATACAAGTTTTGAATGCGGGATCTTTTGCGTTTGATTTAGTTATTGAGTGTAGTATCTAACTTTGCTCAAGTCAATTAGTTTAATACTTTTTCACAACTGCCAATACGTTCTTAGAGACAGCAGGACATCTACACAATAGAGTGGTGCACGCATCTATCGATCAGAAATCTATCGATTAGATTTATGATTAGAAAATTATAAAAGTAGGGTAGACATGTGGATATTATCCGGCTGAACAAAACGTGCATTTATCTAACAGGTTCGTTTTCCACAGACCTTATTTACAGCTATTTTCCAAAATCCTATGGAGAAATCCCATTGCTTTTTTGTCGAGGGAACCCATGCGGAGCTTACTTCCGGGTTTTAGGACGCGTCACTG